GAGAGGAGTTAGTGGGATTTAGCGAGAGTATGGGGCTGCGCTACATCACCTTTAAAATGAGATGGAAAAACTTTTCGCAGCAGCTATGTCTGCTGCTGAAGTTCGCTTCTAAAGCTGACAACACAGCCAGCGCAACGGTCCGGCAGCAACAAAAACAACAAGCAAACGAAACGAAAAAAAAAACAACAACAAAAATACTTTCAACAAAACTTTGACGTTGCTGTCCAGCCATGGAAGGGTAGCAGGTGGTAGCAGTAGGTAGAGCTGGGCCAGGGTATTGGGCAGCCAAATCAATGATGCAGCTGCCATAAGACCTCTAAGCTCAATTATGGCATGAGCAGACAAGCAGACAAAGGCAGGCATAGAGCGACAGAGAGAGACAGAAAGAGAGAGACAGAAAGAGAGAGAGAGAGAGACCCATAGAATGAGTTGCAATAATAGACAAAGACATGCACTTGGCCCTTCTTGATGATGAGTCGAGCGCTTGCAGCTTAAGCCAAGCATTGAAATGTGCTTAAAAACAGCAAATCTGATGGCTATATAGATAAATTTAAGAGCGAGACTTTATAGATGTATATATATTTAGGAGGATATAAGAGAAGGCTATAGAGCAACACATACAGAAAGCTACATAGCGAGCTATACACTGAGCCATTATTTGCTGCCCAGGAAAGTATGCAACAAAAATTTTGATTTATTTTTATGCGAGTATTTCGATAAGAAAATATGAAATTCTAAACATAAAATATAAAATAACATAAAATATAAAATATAATATATAAAATATAAAATGTAAAATATTAAATATAACATATAAAATATAAAATGTAAAATGTAAAATTTAAAATATAAAATATAAAATATAACATATAAAATATAAAATATAAAATATAAAAAATAAAATATAAAATATAAAATATAAAATATAAAAAATATTATATATTAGATTTTTTATAAGATTTTTTATATACTCTGCTTTAATGCCCAACTGGAATTTATCTGCTCATCCTCTTCAGTTAGAGCGACGACCTCGCGCCTGATTCTGCCATTCGCTTATTAATAAAATCTGACGCTAAAAACAGCGCACACCAAATTAGATTATTCGACGCCTATTTCGCACGTGCAGCTCTTAAAAATAAAAATGACAAAAAAAAGAAAAATTGAAACAAAATAGAGCCGAAAATATGTTCCATTTCAGCTGCTGCCTCTTTGTAAGAGTCAAATTCAATTTAGCTATGCTATAGCTGGCTAAAAACAAAAACAAAAAAGAAAAAATAAACTTTGATCAAAGCCACGACCAAATTGCTATTGTCAACGACCAAATACACACTCTAACACACACACACACATACTTTTGGAGTTCGCTTGATAGTCTTGAAAGAGCAATGTACGTACACGCTAAAAATTGTCAACTTCATTGGCAGAGCGTAAAAGGAAGCAAGAGAAAGAGAGAGAGAATTGGGGGAAAAAATATGCCAAAAGTTGAAAAGTTTCGTTTTATTTTTAGCTGCTGCTGTTGCTGCTGCTGCTGCTGATGCTGCCTCTGGTGCTGTTGTTGTGGTTGTGGCCGAAGCTGTGCTTTTGACGGCAAAAATACCCTATAGCTAAGTGGAAGCATGAGTTGGCTTAGCTGGCAGGAGATGGCATGAAACTAAGTCAATAGAGATGCCTATAATGCATATATGGACTGATTGACAATTAAATTAATAGGGAAATTGCTCTTTCAGTCAAGGCAAAGCCTAGACGAGGTATACAATAGCTGAGAGTATGCGATGTCACTCAATTTGAATGGATAAAGACCATTGAACTCAAGTGAAATTGAATGAATATAGATAGATAGATGGATAGATAGACAGATAGACAGATAGATGGAATGATATGTATATATATAGATAGATAGATCGACTCTAGATTGATAACATCTAGATAGATAAATAACTAGCTCTATTGTTCATTTAGACAATTCCAAGTTTAGTTAAGTTTAGCTAGCTGAAGATAGAATTATTCAATACATATTAATAGAGCATAAAACTATTTGAAACTCAGTCTATATGTGATTTATACAGTTGTCTATATTGTTTATATCTATATGTCTCATCTGTCTTCTATATCTCATAGACAGTTATCTAGATAGTCTCGTTGTTTACTCTGTCAAGACAAGGTCAAAATTGACTTTTGCTACATCCCTTCAAAAGCTGCCCTTCACCTTGACTTCAACTCATTTACAGCATAACTTATAGTCGGCCATTTGTTGTGCAAACACTATCCATGCTGCAGTGTAAGCGTTAAAGCGTGCATTTGGACATAAACAACTTAACAGTCATTAAATTCGAGCCACCAAGCGATAAATGTCAATAGCACTGCCTGAAAAACTTTACAGCTCACACACACACGCACACACACGCACACATGCAACACACTCAACACCAGCACACACTCACATACATATATAAATACATATATGTATAAGCACTTGCACTTTATACACATAGCATTATGTATTGCAGCTGAAGTCCTTAACATATTGCGCATACGTCACGTTGACCCTCATTTTGTGAAGCTGTTGCTGCTTACGGCTGTTGTATTTGTTGTTGTTGTTGGCTTACAAATTGCAGTCACTTTTAACTGATGTTGAAAACAAATGGAATGCGACAACAGAATCATTCACATAAATCTCATTTGTCCACTTTAGTAGGCCAGGTTGCACGGCCAGCAAAATCAGCAGGAGCAGCAGCAGCAGCAGCAGGAGTAGCATCTCCGATTCTTCGGCCTGGCAAACGAAATTTGGATTTATGGGCCGCACAATGATAAATTGAATTTCGCTCAAAATTAACTGTAAGCCAAAGTGAACGTGCTGCAACAACAATAATAAAGACAACAGCAGCTGGCTGAAGAAAAATGGTCGCAACATATGCGGCCTATAAAATGTGACAAGCCAAGCAACCGCAAAAGGAAACGAACTACGTTTGTGGCTAGGCCAAAGACAACGACAGGCACTGTGCGTATCTGTGTGTGTGTCTGTGTTTGTGTCAAGTTTACTACTGGCAGCCTGGCAATGAAATTAGGACACAAGCTGTAGGCCATAGCCAGCACCCTGGCCCAGCAATTGTCTAAGCATATTTGTCGTTTGATTGATTTATTTTGCCTTCTCCGCACACACACACACAGAAAAGACACAAAGCGCCAGATTTGTGCAGGCCAACAACAGACGCAGGCAGCCCAGCCAGCCAGCCAGCCCAACAGACTTGTGGCTCAAATGTGACAGACAGGCTTCACAAATACAACTTGCACACTAAATGGGCGACCCGGCTAAGGCGCTTTGTCAAATCAGAGCAGCCTAAGCACCTCACACGTAGGCGACTAGTCGCAGCTACAGCTCACCTGGCTGGCAAGCCAGCTGCTCTTTATGGCCATTTTATTTATTATGCAATCGTGAGCAAACTCTTGGAAATGTCTGCCATTAGATACTGTTCCAGGCTCTATTTGAATATCTTAGATATATAAGGCATATATCAGGGTTTTAGCTGTTTTCCTGTTTGAAATTCCAGAGAGCGAATGCTGTTATTGATTTTAAATAAAGCTTGTGCGTAAATTTAGCTAGATTTGGCGTTTTAAGGCCATAGCCCTATAAGCTTTAGAGTGCTTTAGCGTATTTCTATAGCTTATATATATGTGCCTATCGATCTGTCTTGCTAGTTTTATGGTATCTATATGCTCTATATTCTATGTTACTATAAAAAGCAAAATTTCTAGCTATTTTTACTATTGAGAGTCATTTGGCATTGCCTAAACTGTTTTGCTTGTTCATAGACTGCAATTCTATATAAGCCTTTGTTTCATAGTAATAATACTAATTTATATATGTATCTAAAAAGGAACTTTATAGTTGTTGAGCTGGAGTTTTTATGGTGTCAGTGCATAAGTATGCAAAGCTTAATAAACTACCATTTGCTTTTATGAGTTCACATAACAAAAGGTGAAAGGTGAGTGTCTAAACTGTTGCCTTTTCACTGAGATTGCGATTTTCCATAACTTAATCCGTTGCAAACGACGACGATGATGATGATGATGATGATGATGCTGCTGCTGCTGCTCCCGCTCCTGCTGCTGATGGCATTAAAGTTGTGCCATTTGAGAGTCATTCAACTGCATTAAATATGCAAATGCGAAATGGCATCGTTTGGCATCGCACCTTTGACTCGGCGCTGGCTTTGTCTATTTTGGCTGACATTATCGAAATGCCAATCAATGGCAAACAAACAAAAAATATAAGTAAAATAAGAAAAGTTATTTGCAACTGTCGAATGCAATTCTCGCTTCAACCAGAAAACCCAAACCCGAACCCAAGCCCAAAGCCAGAGCTATATAAAGAATTTAAATGCCAAATAAAGGAGCAGAAAATCAGGTCATTCAAAGGAATTGCAATGCAGACAAAGGTAATAACTGGAGAGAACGAGTCAAGTATATATAAATATATATATACATACATACAAATTCCATTTCTGTTTAAAAATCCATTTTCTATAAAAGTTAAGAGTTTAATTTTAATAAAAATATACTCTATAAACGCTTACTGATTTATTTCAATATAAATTCCCTCTAAGCTCTAAAGATAATATACTTAATATACTTGATAAGCAGTTGTTAGATATATATACTATGTGTGTATAGGTTTTTAAGAGATGCGCCACTAAAATCTACACAACAAATGCGAATGCATGCAGAGAGCGTGGGGTTTTACAAGGTGTACATGGTGGGGGTGTTGGGCGTGGCCAAGTCTATAAATTCAAATTTTGGCGTTTATGTTTCTCTGATTGGTGGTTTAGCTGCATTGTGCATTGGATTGGAAGATGAATTACGAAAAGTACTTAAGCATTTCATTTGTTGTGGGTGCACAGGAGCTGCGGTTGGATTGGAAGGTGTGTGTGTGTGTGTGTGTGTGTAGTATAGCACTTATATATCTTATATATCTAGGTATTGTATTTGTGTGCTTAGCTTACCTGTTGAATAACAGGCCACAGCCGCGGCGCTGATGGCGTCGTTGTTATTGCCAATGCAGCCGCCATAGGAGAAATGATGGCTAGTCGAACCGGTGCCGGAGACAACGGCTATTTCGTCCAGCTCATGGCCCGGCGAGGTGCCAGCGGATACGAGCCGCGTCGACGATGTCGCCGAGTTGCCCTGCGAATTTTTACGTCCACGTAGCGAGAGCACCAGTCTTTTGGCTGTGGACATGCCCACAGCACAGGATGCTTACCGCCGCCTGCCGCCTACAGCTACCAGACGGCTCCACACTCCAATCGCTGTCGCTGTCAAAAGGCAGGTGAATTTGTCGCTGACGTCGTCGTCGTCGTCGTGGTCGTGGTCGTTTTTTGTTCAGGCTGCCACCGGCTGAAATTGCAATAAGAAATTGAAATGGAAATGAGAAACTTTTATTTTATTTTATTTCGCTTTTTATTTATTCTTTTGGTCATTCAATATTTGCAAAAGCAGCAACGAAACTAAAGAACAGAGACTGCAATAAAATAAAGTTGTTTAATCTGAGATTGCTCGCAGTGGCAGATACCCTGTAGAAGTAGGAAATGTGAGAGATAACAAAGCGAGAATGAGAAGAAAGGAATAGCAAAGGTGAACCAAAGGCACAAAAAGCGAGAGCAAAGGAAATGAGTAAAAGGGAAAGGAAATATATGACGATGATATTAAATGAATATAAAGTTAGAGAGATTATGAATGTTTATACTATAAGATGTGAAGAGAGCAGAAAAATATATATATAGAGAGAGAGATAGAGAGAGAGAGAGATAGAGAGAGATAGAGATAGAGAGAGAGAGATAGAGAGAGAGAGATAGAGAGAGAGAGAGATAGAGAGAGAGA